CCTTAACACTCCAGTAAATAGCTTGAACCTCTTTTAATGATCACAGAATATTCAGTTTAACTATCATAGTGTCTAAACTATTACTCATCCGTCACTTAACTAGGGCTCGTGAAGAGCGAACTCTTAAACGTCGGGGTAGTTTCAGACGTGGACGTGGATGTTTAGACCGATTATTCGTACTTCCCCAAAGCCTGGAGCAAAGACATACCGACTCCCAGTCACAGTTATAGTTTTCAATTTTAACTAAATATTTGATTCTATAGATTAACAAGTTTTATTTAAAAGTTCTTTTCGTTATGGATGTTAAACGTGGCTTTTAAAAATATAGGATTCAACCATAGGTGTCTTCAAAACATCACTCGGATATTTCTGGACCATTGAGTTAGCGATTCTGAGATTAGTCTCATAGTGCTATGCAATAATGGCAAGTCGACTGACGTGGTAGCGAGTCTCTGTCGATAAATATGATTTGGACTTGTATCATGTATGTCCATTCACTGACTACCTCAACTAACGATGATAACTGATGTTAAAGTAGGCCAGAAGGAAGCTATAAGGGGCCAAACCAAGACCTGTCACCAATTTATAAAGACACCGACTATTGAACTGAGCTAAGTGGGTGGATGTAGACCATCTAATTGTGGTCCTTGTGATTATCGTAAGTGATGATTGAAAACTGAATAACATGACTCAAAATTGCTCACAATGGCACAGGTGCGTCCACCCTATGTCTTTATTCTTGATGTCCTAGGGTCGAATTTTTGTAATGAGTAATACTTATCATCTTCATCGTAGAAAATATGTTATACTTATATCAGTCATGTATAACAACAGAATGTAAGTGATAAATTTGATAATAATTTCTGTATATAACCACATGACTTGTACTTTGATAAATCTCACCATACCTCATGCTAGTTTGAATCCTTTTCTAATTCTAAACATTCTAGGGCTTCTTCAATCGTATTAACATGACAACACCACGTGTTAATCAGGAAGGTGTCAACTAGACACTTGTAAAACTAATTAGCCAATACTAGTTTCCACTAACATGTAGCACATATTCATGAAATTATGCCACAACGTTTGTTTACTACCTTGTTTGTTAATTTGTGGATTTAAATGCTTTTTGTATGACTTTCTCTTACAAAGATGCTTGCCTGTTCCAAATGCGGTGGTTTAACGCATTCTGATTTGGCACGAAATATCACTAACACCAGTGTAAATCAAATGACCTCAAACGATTCTTCTTCATTTGTTCCAGGTACAAACCGGTGGTGTTGTCGTTTATGTGATTCTGATAGTAGTGGCTGTGTGTCTAGAGACAGAGTTAACTCTCTTAAGTATGTTCAAGTTTCAGCTGCATTTAGATATCTGACGTACGAATTAGCTTGTTTGAATGTAAAAACTCGATTATCATTGACTGACTTAGAGTAATTTGTGAATAATAATTATTTTTTTATTGATATCCAACTGCTTCTCTATTTTAAAAGTTTCTTACTTCGTAAACTTAATGAATTGTGTGGTTAGATATATGTCTATGCAATATCAAACCATAACTTTTGTAAAATTATTGGGTTTTACAAGATTGTAACATTTGGATTTTATTGAGTACAACCTAATTAAACGTAAATTTCTTTACTTAAACATAAGTTACCGCTTCTAGTGAATACGACTACTCGGTACGGCCGAGAGTGGGGAGAGTCCGCTCTCCCTCTCGAAATACTCTCACACGGCCACGCGTATACAGCCTCTGCCAGGGAAGTCCTACTCATTGCCTTCTCGTGGCGGGGGTGTTGTTTACGAAAATGAGAGGACGAAAAGCGAATGTCCGGCGCTTTAACCGGATTCCAAACCAATGGTGCACATGGGCTCCGGTATCCTGCGGGAACAAATGGTGTATGAACCAATCGTTGGTCACCGGCTACCATGGGATTGCATCTCCTTACGATGCTCCACTGCCTTGTGGGTTAAACCTTTAGGTCAAAGGCTCGGGGTGTGGCCCCCTAAGATAACCAACCACCTACTTCGGTTTGGGCACCAGGGCAGTATCACAGCCCACACACAAATGATGAACTCTTTATGTCTATGGAAATTACTTTTCTCGCTTCGAAAAACAATCAATTGATTCAAATTATTATCATTACAATTATTGTCATTATTAATACTATTATTGTCATTATTATTATTATTATTATTTTCCACATTATTCACCCTCTTATATTTATACAGCGGCTCGTCTTTGGTGGAAATTCGACTGTATCTAAACGTTCTCGAGTCACTGTCCGGTTGAAAATTGTATGTTACCACCGAATACGAGAACTGAAGCAGTTTTTCAGAAACCACGGGCAACATTCAAACTGGCTGCCTTCAACGTTCGCACACTTATGCAGGTCGGACAACAGATAGGGCTGGCTATGTCTTTGGAAAGTCTTAATATTGATGTTTGTTGTCTATCCGAGACCCGTATTCAAGACTCTGGCGAAGTACTACAAATTCGATCTACATCTGTCACTTCGAAAAGCTTGTTTTACGTGTGCTTATCCGGAGACCCTGTGGCATCTTCGTCTGGTCTTGCTGGCGTTGGTGTCGCACTAAGCGCTAGAGCTGAGGCAGCACTAGTCGATTGGATCCCCATTAACAGTCGGTTATGTGCTGTTAGATTAGAAAGTTCCATCAAAGTGAGAAGAAATCGGCATGAGAAACGATGTCTTTTCGTCATCTCCGCCTATGCCCCGACAGATTGCAGCCCGGATGCAATCAAGGATGAGTTTTACCACCAGTTATCTGTTCTTCTCCAGAAAGTGCGTTCGACAGATATTGTAGTACTAGCCGGAGACTTGAATGCTCAGGTCGGGCGTGCAATTGCATGACGCCATGAAAATGGCGGGAACAGTCAGTTGTGGGTTTGCGAAACATCCCGCTTTTAAGCACTGGTTTTCTTCTGGTTCCTTACAACTCATTGAAGCCCGTCGGTCTACTCCGGGTCACCGTGACCTGCTGCTCCGGCAGCATCGGTCAAACTGTCCTGCCCTCCATGGCCGGTGACGACTGATCCACCAAGTGAGGCGGAAGTCCGCAAGGAACTCCAACTCTTAAAGCGCTACAAATCACCGGGCCCAGATAACTTGCCTTCGGCTCTTTTTAAAGATGGTGGTGGCTTTTTGACTAAGGAATTGACGACGTTGTTTACAAAGGTTTGGGAACTAGAGAGTGTATCAACGTCATGGAATGAGTCGATAGTTAACCACATCTTTAAAAAGGGTTCACGTCGTTCCTGCAACAACTATCGGGGGATAAGTTTACTTCCGATTGCGTCCAAGCTATTGGCTTTCATCATACTTCGTAGGTTGTTCAAAACCCGAGAAAGATTGACTCGCGAGAAGCAGGCTGGGTTTCGTTCTGTTCGAGGATGTATTGATCATATCTTCACCCTTCAATAAATGTTAGAACATTGCCATACTTATCAAAGGCCAACAATCGTAGTGTTTCTTGACATCAGGGCTGCCTTCGATTCGTTGGACAGGACTGTTCTCTGGGATTGTCTATTGAAGAAGGGTGTGCCTGAGAAGTTCATTAACATCCTAAAAGCCCTATATACAAACACCTCAGGCAGAGTGAGGGCATACAACCACCTCTCTCCATTGTTCCATTCGAGCAGTGGGGTCAGGCAGGGTTGCCCAATCTCACTATTCCTCTTCAACTTTGCCATCGATGACATTCTGGAAACAGCTCTGATGGATGTAAGTAATGGTGGTGTGGATCTGTTGCCTGGAAAAAGACTTCTCAACCTTGAGTATGCGGACGATATTGTCTTACTGTGCGATAATGCCCAAGGCATGCAATCCGCACTTAATCAGTTGGCAATCAATGTCCGTAGGTATGGTATGTGCTTTGCACCTTCGAAGTGCAAAGTACTTCTACAAGACTGGCAGGATTCCAATTCTGTACTTACTCTGGATGGTGAGCAGATAGAAGTAGTCGAGATGTTCGTGTATCTGGGTAGCTGCATAAGTGCTGGTGGTGGTGGTGTGAGTGATGAGATCAATGCACGTATAGTGAAAGCCAGAGTGAATGATGCCAGTCTGATCCATCTTTGGCGCCTTCGTGATGTTAGTCTGGCTGTAAAAGGTCGGATCTACAATGCGTCGGTGAGAGCAGTTTTGCTCTATGCTTGTGAAACCTGGCCTCTCCGAGTTGAGGATTGTAAGTACAATCATGCTTAAACGTGAATGACACAATGCGAAGTCGTATGTGCTCGTTGTAACTCAACTCAATACTGCCAACTTCTCTAATATTATATTTAGCTTTAATATTGAGTAACACATATTCTAACTTCAATTTAGTTCTAGCTCCTAGAAACCTTAAAGTTGCTGAATTCTTAACATCAACCTCTAAAGTTCAAAATATCAGTCATATTTCAAGTCCTAACACCTAGGTTTATCTGTCTAGACTATCAAACAATATCAATTTGGCTTGGACATGTTCTCCGAATGTCGTCCCAGAGGATTCCACGTCGTGCATTATTTGCCGACTCTGGGACTGGTTGGAAGAAGCGGAGAGGTGGTCAGTGCATGACATGGTGTCGTGGTATGAAAGAAAGCTGCAAAGGACTGGCTTCTGTCGGTCCTTCACGACTCCCTGGTTGCGCTCTGAGAGATGGTGCTACACGGTGGTTAGAAACGTTATCAGATATGGCTCAGAATAGAAGCTAGTGGCGATCCTGGTGTAACCTTCTTTTACTTTCTTCATAAAAAAGTGGTTGTGTCTCCCTTACCTGAAAGATTTCTTCTGATTGTACCTTTCCGTTCCCTCGTTACTACCGCACTACCTTACACCAATCTTTTCGTTATTGTTCTCTTTTTTTTGCGCACCTTAGTTTTTTTTTCTATTTCTCTCCGAATTCTCATTGTTTTGTGTGGCGCATATATATTGGCGCTGTCTTATAGCAATATTCATGTGTTCAAATAAATAAATTTTAAGGGTAAATGTTGGCAAAAAGACCTCATGTATGTAGTTTTATTTAATTCTAAAGGGCAATAATTTTCTCATAATGTTTTCTTACTGACATTTTCGTAGGAAAAGTTGTGGGTTAGTTTCTTGTATTTTACTGACCATTTGCGAGTATCGAATTAGTTCTGCAGTTATCTCAGTTTGTGATAAACCTGTATAAATATAGAATTTAGAAAGATGAAACAAGCACATCAATGTTAGAATTATTGTTACCAATTAACAAGTTACAGTAAAGTGAACATTGCTTTCTTCTTTTAACTCTGCAATAGTTCTACGATTTTGTTGTGCGGGTAATTAGCCAATTATTAATTACCAGTATCATGTTATTTAGCCGTTAGCAGTGGTTCGACGTAACCTATAACCCATTAGAATAGAGGATTTAATAGAACCTAACAGCTAGGACTCAATGGACATTAAGGAGCAGGTAGTGGGACATCGAGACTGAATGATCAATTGTTGGAAGTGTGATGCGAGCTACTTATATTGATATAAGTAGTATATAACGTGCGTTAAAAGAACGTAATGTCCGGCAGCAGAAGATGGCGAAGATCAAGAAAGGAAGAGCGAGAGCACAATGGAATTTGTAAGAAAACGCATGTACAATGGAATGGGAGACAATGGATTAGTGTTTGCAACGGGAACAGTACAGTTTGATATGATGGAATGATTATATTTTGCAAATTGACGATTGACTTTATGGTATTCACATTTTATTGAGATAGTCTGTAATTTTTGTGCTAAATACATTCGATTGTCCCCACCCGTGTTATTGTTCACTACAGAAGCATTTCAGCCTTACAGCTGATCTGATATTGTCTGGTTGTAATTTGAGTCAATCCAATGAAGAACATCATATCATTAACTCACACGAAACATACTCGGGTTTTCCCTCTGAATCCTTCCAGTCATCGAACATAATACTCATTACTTTGATGGCTCTTTCTAAGTCTAATTATGGATTTACTATCAATAATTATAATGATCACTTGCTAGAGAAGATTACGTATAGTTAAATTTCTATTTATTCTTTTAATAAATAGAACTCAGATGGGTAATATAGTCACTGGTTTAACTCAATATTAAACAACTAACTTACCTGGTTGTACTCCGAAACAGTGTTTTTCAATTGAATTTTTATTTAAATTAGGATGTCTGTCAACTATTGACCTTCTATGGGTATTTAAAAATTAATTAATTCTTCAGGCTTGTGTTTAAAATCGATCAAGTATATATAAGTTTGACTAACCCTTTAATTATCCTTGGTTGTTTTCTGTATTTAGTTTGACATTGATCACCACTTGATATCATTAAAACATTCTCATCGTCTTTTGGCCCTGTAGTATCATAAGTATTTGTGGGGCTATGGTTGTTTACTTCGGTTCTTTTTTTCTTAGGCTATTCGAAAAAAGTTACCAGGACATATATCTTGTAACCGCTGACGAATATCACATACTCAATTAATAATCAGGATACTGATTTTAATTTGGTCTGCTATTTACTCCATAGCTTGGTGTCTCTGACTTGACCAACTACCCGCCCTACTATCATTATCGACCCTGAACCGACAGCTAGCTTTCTACTGACCCACTTTTCACTATCTCCCTTATATGCCCATCCTTTGAGTCTGGGAGACAACAGTCAGCCTCTAATTTACATATATTACAAACAGACGTTTATATAAAGACATACTGGACCACGCCACAGCATAAAACAAAAGATAGCAATTTTACATGTACGAGCCAAAAGTGGCTTTGAGCAGGAGAGGTTGTTAGTAATAAGCTGCTAACAAATTAGGAATATTAAACCCTACTTCAATAGTTTAAGAGTCAGCCGAAACGGAATATATATACGTACTATTATAGTTTCTTAATGAATATACAATCATAAGCTATATGATACCTTAAAGCAGCATTTGACTCTGTCGATCGTGAGGTTCTGTGGCAGTGCCTGAAAGAAGTACTTTAACCTTGTAAAGTCTCTATTCGAACACAACTGGCCGAGTGAGAGATTATGGCAAACTATCATCAGATATAGTTTCCTCAAGTGGTGTTCGTCAGGGCTGTCCACTTTCTCCATTCTTGTCTAACTTTGTCATTGACGTACTTTTAGAGATAACACTTTCCTCATCTAAATTTTCAGGAGTTGGACTTTTACAGAGAGATTTACTTGTTGGCTTAGAATATGCCGATAACGTAGTTCTATTTGGTAAAGGCACTGAAAAAATGCTGTCTTCTGACCACTATAAGCAACAATGTAAGTATGTTCGGTATGCGATTCTCCCCCTCGAAATGCTAAATGTTGCTTCAGAATGGGGTTGCATCGACACCTGAACTAATGATAAGGAGTGATGTAGTTGAGTGTGCCGACCGCTTCACTTATTTCGGGATTCTCATCAACCATTGTGGTGTGGTGTGTGTCGAAATCTCAGCACGGATACAGAAGGTTCGACCAGCTTTTTCCAACTTGCGTCATTTATGACGTAAGCGAGATACCCGTCTACCAACCAAAGGACAGGTTTGATGTGCAGCATTTCGTCCCGTTCTACTTTATGGCTGTAAAACACGGCCTGTAAGAGTGGAGGATATTCGTAGATTACTAGTATTCGATCATGGGTGTCTTCAAAGCATTGCTCATATATCCTAGGACCACTGAGTAATTAATGAAGTTGTTAGGAAACGGGTACTAGGTAAGGATGGCAATCCAATTGATGAGGTAGTAAAACCTCATCATTTGAGATGGCTAGGACGTGTTTCGGATGCTTAACCACCGACTGCACCGATGAGCGATGTTTTATTGTGTCGGAGTATGTTAGAAGAAAGCAAGGGGCGGCCAGACCAAAACATGGCACAAATCCATAAAGTTACTGACAAGTGGACTGAGCCATGTTGGTAGGTGTAGAGTTCGCTACTATTTATCTATCTAGCCAATCGCTACATAAGTTTGATATAAGCTCTCACTCAAAAATATTGGTAATTAACCAGGGGTATATAATTAAATAGGTTTCCTTAATATGTCTTAGGATTATCCTCACAGTTTATTGATCAATGGGTTTGAATGGATCCTCGAGGTTAAGAAATTGCTATATCGTCAAGTGCTATTAAGCAGATCTGTCTACAGTAAACTTATCGCAAGAACATCTACAGTTAAATCTGAAACACATCTGGGTTTTTTCCGATACACTGGTTACTAACTTCACTTACGCCAACTCATTATGGAACCTAATGAATTAATTATTATATTGGTCAAACTGATCTCTTTGAGAATATCATGGGGATAAATTGCCGGACATCTAAGAATTTTGTAAGATCTCTGCATCCATTAATTGCTGCTGATTTATTGACACAATTTGTCATTTTCACGACAGTCTGTATATGAAGCTATGTTGACCCTAAGGACACATTCTTTTCAATGTCGAATGAGTGTTTACTTAGTTTTGCACCAAACGCGCATTTGACAATTCAGTCTAGCTGAAGCATTAGTTATCTCTGTTGTAGTTTCATACTTCTGATAAGACGGATGCAGGTGTAGTTCCTCACCAGAACATGACTAAACGCTGTACTTGTAAATCAGAAGGAGCAGTAGACTTGCGCCAACAATGAATACCGGCAATACTATATATTTATGTGTAAGATTGATAGCGAATATTTTTCACCTGTTTAACCAATTACACGAACCTGTAGCTAATAATCGTTAAGTTACTTAAATTTCACTAAAAATGCCGGAACTTTATATACATCTTTTCATATTGGACAAATGAAGAATAATTAATTGATATACCTTCGAAACAATTCCCTCTTTCAGGAAGTGTTTAAACGGATATTTGATCCGGACATCCATTTTATTGGGAATTTTCGATCCACTGTGAAAAAACGATACAAATAAACCTATAAATATATTCACCGGTTATATAATAGTGAGATTAAACTTAGAGTGTTAAGGAATGGTGGTAAATCAATTGATGAGGTTGTGAATCTTCATTGACTGATATAGTTGGGCCACGTGTTACGTATGCCTGGACACCGATTATCACGCACTGCTGACTAGAGTTGTGGCCAAATCAAAATGTGGCAACAGTTTTGAAGTCACTAACTTTTGATCTGAGCTATATTATTAGATACGCATCTAGTAGTCTGCGCAGACTACTTTGTTGGGATCCGCGTGAATATCGTAATCAATGGCTGAAGACTTTGTGTGACATTGCTCAGAGTCGATCAAAATGGTGTTGATGTATAAACTCTTTATCTTGGCTCAATCCGTTTGTATAAAATAATTTTACTTCAAAAGTACCTAGTTTACCGTTATTATAGTTACGGCGGAAGACTGAAATACCTCGTTAAGTTCGTCATAGTAACGTCAAAAGAAGTATATTATAACAAATATTAATTGGGTTCAGTATATAATGTCCATTTTGGTGATTTAGTATAAACAATTTGATTTCTACATGCTTGATCTTAACAATTGTGAAACAGTACAAAACGATTATTTTACGTTGAAATATAGGTATAAATATAAAACAAGAGTTAAAAAACTGAACATAGATATAAAAATGTGTATACTGTAGTGTCAGTTATTATGCCAAGCCCACATACTTTATTCTAGCTTCCGGACATCCCATTCTATTCATTTTACTTGAGCCATACATTGACCTTGTTATTTATTCGCTTATCAATCTAGACTGTTTTTATATGAGCGTATATGTGAGTGCCCTTCTTATCCTATTAATCACATGTCTGTAGCTTTATTTTGTCTCACTATAAATATTGAGTAACGCTTGACTAAAATGGAGTTGGCTTCCCAGCCATCTTCCATACGTGTCATTCTGCTTTGCTATGTTTCATTCGCTTCATGTACGAAATATATGTATTCTCAAGTCAATTCTCGTTATTCGACTTATTTAATTCCGTTATTGGATAACGCGATTTAAGTCGACGATGATATACGAGAAAAGGCGATAACAAACATCCATACAATTATTCGTACAATCTAAATGGAGTCAGATCAACGGGCCACAAAATACAAATTAAAATATTGGCAGATAAGTGATGGAAAGAGAAAACTGGAGATTGCTCTAGATATGGTTTTAGTAGGACTAAGCTTAGCAATATAGTTTTTACGGTTTATTTGAATTCAACTTCATTTCGAAATGAAATTTTGCAATCCGGTAATACGTTCTTGAAGCTTCAGTATCTTGGTAAGCACATTTGTTGAAAGGATTTCCATTACGACATCTAAGTAAACACCTAATATGTGACTGACATGTAGCATGAAGAAGAGTGATACTTTTATCTTCTTTTATAATGAGCAATAATATCAGCACTTGTAAAAAATATTTTGCCGCAACAATTCTTGATTGTTTATTAGGTCATATTTCATGATAATATTGTTTCTTCCTCTGAGAAAAATGGAAACAGTTAGCATAAAAACATTCAGAATATGTTTAGCCTAGCTAACTCCGGAGTTCGATATATGCTAATCTTCACAGTAAACTGGGGTTTCACTCGGGTCGAACATTTGTGTGGTTGTAACCTGCTATATTTACCCGTAAAAAAGTTGAAGTACTGGTTTCCAACTACACGATCTTTGAAGCCGAATAGATAATTGATGAAATTTACAAAAATGATGAACGCGGGAACATTTGACTGAAATTGCATGGCTCGTCCTTGCAGATGTGGTCACCATGTAACGCAAAACTTTTCATACCAAACCTATTCTAACCCGAGCGTATCGTGGAAAAACTACCGTTTTTTGTCTTTCACATAACTCACAAACACCATGTTTACCTATATTTTGTTCCAGAGCACCCAACATTTGGACTGATACAACTTTTCGTTACTACTCATACTTGTCGTCTACAGGCATAATATATTGCAGGGACTTGAACGTATTGATATTCATTTACCTGACAACTTACTTCTCGATATTCTCACTTGCTTAATCTGTGTAAATGCGCCAAAACTTGCCATGACGTTTGTTTCTTAGAATTATCATATGAGTGAATCGCTAATCAGTGACTAGATGGTGAAGATAAACTAAAGTTGATGTGAGATCATCCTAACTCTAATTTGATTTATTATTATTCACAAACATCTTATGGGTACATAAGTTCACTAAGAATTTCTCCTTCACATAGACCAAGTTTCCTACCAAAAACAAAAGATGATGAAATATAATATTTGATATGACATAACAGGAACTTGATTCTTCTAATATATTTTTCTCACTTGTGCCAAGAATCTCGTAAGAGAATAGTAGATCATTAGAAAAACTATCACATAGTGAAAGTGCACCAAATTCGCGATCATGATTAGGTTCTGATATGTTCGCAAGTTGAATCACGCAGAATAGGGTTTATAACCACGGCATTTGAACTTGTAGAACCACATACTTGCAAAGTCAGAGGGCATAAGAAATCTGGAGAAGTGTTTGTTGAGTGAAAGTCAAAATGTGCAGAAAGTCATGAGTATTTGTAGTGACTCACATTTATCACGAGAACACGACTGGTTTAATAAAAACAATTATTATTATAACCAACTGTACCAGTGTTTGTTTTAACGTGCTCTTGTTTGACTGTGCTAATGACAGCTATTTTGTGCTTCCATTCTTTTACACACACTTCGATTGTAACTTTGCGCGAATTCGGCACACTATGCGTGTTAGTTTACGGGTTTTCGCGCACATGTAACATATTGTCGTGGATTTTATGTTTCGTTATTTATCAGCTATTAACAGCCTTTTTTCCATCATACGTGACTTCTCGTAATCTTTGTGATTGGAAGATAGTATTTATTTCAATTTATAAGCAGTTTGACGTATTTCGTGCTCACCACCTAAGTAAACATGCAGTTGGCGTAATATGGTTATTTTTTAATAATACAAGGTCAAACAAGTCAAATCACCATTTTTCTAGTGAAAAATAGAAAACAGATTGACTTTTCATGAAAATAAGCCGTGAAAAGCATTATATATGGTTCACCTCCTTGATTATGGTGACAGCAAACATAGATGTTCGCAATCGTTTATAAGATGTTATCAGAAAGAAGTAAGCATTAAACTAACTATGGATATTATATAAATTGTTTGTATTTAGCCATAAAAGGTTATTTGCACTAAAGGTAGCATTGTTTGGTATTGAAGTGACATATTATTGTGTAACGTATCAGAGAAAAATTATGTGAGTAAGAATTGATGTTGATAGTCTTTTTTACCGGCTTTCTGAACGTATACAGGAACAGTGTATAACAGCACATTAAATAGGCACAAAATCTTCATAAGTGAAACGATGGCTGTCTTTTCTGAGCATGGTGACAAAACCATGTCGTACTTAATATTGATTCATGATGTGTCTGTTATAGGGTTGACGAATAATTTTCTGTAAACGAAATGCACAGTCTCAGACGAAAATGTGAACAAACTTATGATGCATATTGTCGAGTAATATCTAAATGGTACTTACCAGTTTTTCTTGCTAATACCAGATGTATGTACGAAATAATACAAGGGTTAGACACTGAATAAATTCCCAGTGCTTGTTACGACACAGACTTGAATAAAAAACAACTATTCATGAGTTAATTCATGAATTCCTACTGTATTACAGACTGACTCGTCCGAAGTAATTCATGCAGATAACGGGACGAAAAGTGAATGAGCAATGGAAGCAGAATCACAAGTTCCTTGTATTCATATCTCGTTTATGCCACATTAATGAATAACATTTTCTTCATAATTCAGACCACGCTTCTTTGTTGTGACGAAACTGATTTCAGCAATTTTTAAATAACATTGATTTGTGTGTTGTAAAGATTAGCTATTAATTTTTATTAAAGGAAATAGAAATCTCTAATGATTAGCGCTGTCTGCAAGTAAGAGACTTATAGGTACATTCTGTAACCTGCTATTTGATGTACTTATTGAATGTGATACTTATAACTAGGTCTAATTCTTTATTTCACAACTGATTTGTTTGTTTTTCAGAATCGTATGAATCCAATAAAGTCGTCAAAGGTTTGTGATGTTTACGCCGGTCTACAACTTACAGAATTTGTTAAAAAACGGTTTACATGTTCACGTTAACTGTGTTCTGTATTGCCTAGTAACATTTTTATTCAACTAATGAATTAGTGAAATATAAATATAGCAACTACACTTATTGTCTTACTTTATAAACCGTGTCCGTCTTTATTAATAGTCGATATGACGCTAGAACAAATATAGATATAGAATAATATGAACTCCTTATAATCCATGGAGTTAACAAGTAATAAGATGGATTATGTATTAATTCATTTCACTTTTAAAATTTAGTTGCCGATTTATTCCAGCACCCTGTCACTTACATCTGCTCACTTAATCCTCTGTAATTATGTGACCTCTTCAAATTGTAATAAGTTATTACGTGACCCAAGTTTTCAGTTCTTAAATCCACGGATCACTTATAGGCCATAAGATTTTCACACCACTTATCTGTCTGTGAACTCCAGTCCACTATTACACCACCCATTCTTAATGGGTTATTGACTGTAAAAACAAATGACCTTTGACCTTAAACTGCATATATATATATATATATATATATATATATATATATATATATCTAGTTATTATTGATAACCCACGTCATTTCAATTATTCATATTAAGGTATGTCAACTGTTTCCCACATCACTGTTAAATCGTAATGCATATTTAGTTATAATGAATGCATACCACTGTTAATCAACATTTATCCTGGTTTCATTTTAATTCATAAGCGGAACTAATCACATGGAATTAAAATCTTAGCTACTGATACGATTTTAATTATAAACGTAATCCGACGAAGGTGAATATGATATGTGGGTGCCTAATCTGCAAGATTGTACGTGGATGTAGGGTTTCTGAATCATTCTTAATTATTACAAAGTTACACATGAACGTCATTGCTATTTATTCCCATGAAACTAGGAATAGGATGAAAATTAAAATTATGACAGTTTATTGAATAATCATTGCTGCTAAAGCAGAAAATCAAGTTTACAAGTTGGTATTAAGAATTCTTAAGTAATAATTTTCCACCTTCTTCTCAACTTCCGTTGCGAAACGTTCACCATACTTCTCAATGATGCGTTGCTTATGGATTCTTTGACTTCGTTGAATACTTATATACACTTCACTCCGTCGTGTTAATGTAGTTAATGTATAATTTTGGAAGTTCTGGGTATTATGTAACTTCCATCTGCTACAATACCTAAGAAGTTGATGAGCTATGCAGTTAGTATTTCATAATTGATATAGCTTAACTGTAAGATTTCGTCTTTTAACGTAGGCAAGTAGCATGTGACGGCAGGGATAT